CATGAAATTAGTTTCATTACTTAAAGTACATATATTTTTTTCAATGAAACAGAACACATATTTCATATTCTATTGTTTTTAAAATTCATATTTTTATAAAATATAATGTTAAAAAATAATAAAACATATTAATGGTAAAAAATTTATATTAAGAAGAAATAAATTACCTCCTTTTATATGAAACGTTTCCAAAATTAACAATATTTATTACCTTCCAATATTAATCAATATACAATGAAATGACTATTACACCCTTACTGATTAAAATTAAAGAAAAAAATGGAATTTTTCTATTGGTCGAAAGTAATTTGCATGGTTTTCATGAATTGAGTGGTTTGCAATGTAACCCTGTTGATCCTCTCTCTCAGTAATTTGATGATAATCATTTTTTCCCTTTTACGTTGTATTTATGTTTCTGTATTTTCAGTTCCAGCGATCATCACTGAGTATGTTCAGTAATCGCTGAAGAACTTGCATTGTAAAATCATCAGAGATAGCAATACTTCAAGAAGACAACACTCACACCAAAGAACCTTCAGCGAACGTCGAAGACTCTACCTCTCAGGTAGTGATCACTTCAGAGTACCAACTTCACATCCCTTCAACAACCTGCGGTCGACTGGAGTGGGTATCTGATCAACCCAGCTCTTATACTCCATCAGACCAGTAGATGTCTTAGCTTAAGGAGTCACTCGACCAGACTAGAGTAAAAATTCCTCTTCGTACCTCTAGTGGTGGTGAATTTGACTTCCTTTCTGAAGCTAAAAGACTCGAGGCATTAAGGGCTGAAAAAGAGCTAGAGCTTCAGAAGAAGCAGACTGAAGACAGCCTAAGGCTGGCCGAGTCACTAACTGCTAAAGTCCTTCCTAAGAGAAAGTCCAAGAAAACGGTGAGTGCTGTCCAAACCCAAGCTAAACTTTTTTCTATGGCAGAAGCTGAACGCAAGAAGAAGCTGAAGCTGGTGGACAAGGATAAGCAATGGAGCGAAGCAAAGCTGAAAAAGAGACTCAATCCATGCCCAATCATCAGCGTCAGCATCAGCGGACGATCAAAAGATGGTGGGACACTGGTCTCAATGCTTATCACCAGGGACAATCTTAATGCCGTTACCGAGTACCCTTCCTCCCTTGGCTGCTATGGATACAGCGAATGGATGGAGATCAGACAAGCCATTCAGCAATCCAAGTCGAGACACAAGACACTTATCGAGGACACCATCAACGAGCTTATCAAAAGGATTTCCAGGTATGTCAAGGTCCCTAACAGGCCAACTCTGAAGAAAGGTGGGAAGAGGAAAATAAAGCTCTCTGATCCTAATGAATGACCATTCCTAAGGAACGAACATGAAACAAGGTTTTCCTTAGATGAAGTCCTGAAGAGTCATATGAGTATTGACATTTCTATGCTGAATCTTGACTTGCCAGATAAGGGTCTCTATACACCCAGCTCTGTGCATTTTAAACCTGAGTTAGGAGTTATATTTCTTGACTATGAAGGTGAAGTCAGATTTCAGAGAGTGTCAGAGCTACATCTATGTCCAATGGATCACTTGGCGTATCTCTTGCAATGGATAGATGATAGCATGCCTGGAAAAGTCGTCGATCTGAAGATACGAAGGAAATTCCTACGTCGAAGAAACCTTGGTGAAAATGTACCTGATTACATAGATCTAAGTGTTCTAGAATAAGATTCTCTTTGTAACAAYAATCCACTTTTCCTTGTAATTCTTTTTCTATATCTTCTTTCATTGATTGTATTTACATTATGTAAATTCTGAACATGTACTGTAATACTTGTATTATTTTCATTGATTAATAAAATGAGTATTCCATGTACTTCACTGAAAAAGATCCCTGAAAAAAGTAATAGGGACACAAGTCTATGAGTTCCGATGTTACTTTTATCATTCACTGACAATCTATAAGTCAATGAATAAGCTTTCAGTTTCAGTTTCCGTACTTGTAATTTTCTTAGATATAACTTAATAAAACTTCTCAAGCTGAGACTGACTTAACTGAAAAAGATCCCAAAATAGTAAAAAGGGACATGTACTTCATATGTAACTTTTCCTTACTATTATTTGATAAGATAACTTTCTTTATGTTATCTTGTTATCATCAAATAGGGGGAGATTGTTGATCCTCTCTTTCAGTAATTTGATGATAATCCATTTTTCCCTTTCACGTTGTATTTATGTTTTTGTATTTTCAGTTCCAGCGATCATCACTGAGTATGTTCAGTAATAACTGAAGAACCTGCATTGTAAAATCATCAGAGACATCAATACTTCAAGAAGACAACACTCACACCAAAGAACCTTCAGCGAACGTCGAAGACTGAAACTGAATATTAGAGACTGGCGAGTACGTGATCTGAAGCGGTATTCAGTTATTACAAGCCTGACTACATATGTGTGAAGACTGCTCTAGCTTCAGCGAATGATGATGAGACCTCTAGGTCATTCCAGCTTTCAGCGATCAAAGGAAGCTTGCTTAGCACGATTGTTGTTGTATTGTCCTTATGCACACAAATGACAAACCCATACCCTTGCGAAAGTTAGTACGGTACGGAGCCGATTAGTCGACTCTTTGTCCACCAACTTTAAGCAAGGATGTCTGCTCAAAAATAGTGTTTTTGTACTATTCATTGTAGCAAAGGACAAACCTTCCTCTTAAGGTTTGACACGCACTCTAAACCTACCATATTGCATTAAATGTCCATTTAATGCACTGGGTATAAATAGAAGTGTTTCTTCTCCATGCAGAGTGCGCGCATCTCTCTGCTATCCTCTTCTTACTTCAAGCATCTTCTAGCTTAAGTAAAAGATCTCCTTTTAGCAATATCTTTTCTTGTATTTGCTAAAGATCTGTGTGTAACCAAAGATTGTTTAGATATGTTTTTCTTTACCTTATCTTTCCGCGAACAGTCTTATAAAATCTGTATTGATTTTCTCTATCAATATATATTTTAAATTTGAAAATAATGTGTTTGTATTCATCCCCCCTTCTACAAACTGTTCTTATTCTTGTAGACCCTTACGGGACCAACAAACCCGCATATATATATATATAGGGGCAGGTTCAAATGAAAATCATGCAATTCTAAGAAACCGTTTAAATCAATTTCGACCAATAGTAAAATTCTATTTTTTAATTAAATTTAATCAATAAGGGTATTTCGGTCATTTTCCATATTTTTTTTGATAAATAAGGAAGTTATTAATAAATATTAAATAAGGAAATTTAATAATGGAAATTATATAAATGGTAACATTTAAAAATTTAATTATATTATAATATTAAAAACTTGATTTTAATTTTTCGTTATTCAATGAATCTGGAAACGTGRTATGAAGATTCTAACTTCTTATGGAATGAAATCTTGATTTGAGGTTGGAGGAAAAAAATCATCCATGTTCATGAAACTATTTCAATGTGAAAAAGTTTCATTGTAAAATGGTTTATTTGCTTCTTCTAGGCATATTTTACATGTTAATGAAATAGAGTCATGATGGTGAAAATGTTGATGCTATAATTGATTCATGATTCATGATCTAGTTTCATGGTGATCTATGTTGCTTTGTGATTGAAGTTGATCCGTTTAGTTGGTAGGATGAAAATGAAACGGGTGCATAATGTATTTTGTTATTTATGAAATAAATATATGATAAAACGGGTGCATATTATATTTTGTTCTTTATGAAATTAATGTTCATGAAACTGTTTCAATGTGAAAAGATTTCATTATAAAAATAGTTTATTTTTGTTTACCAATTTTGGCCTTAGTATTGAAATAAAATAAATTTTTAATATTTTTTATTTTTTAATTTCCTAAAATCAAGTAAACTAATCTTAGTCATTGATCAAGAAAATGAATGGATGAGATTGATTTACACGGTTTACACAAATGAGGCAAGTTT